ACAGTTCCTGTAATGGTTCTATCATTTCTTCAATTAATATCTTATAATAAACTGCTGTAAATCCATCTGTACCTGGAGCTTTACCAACCTTTAATTGTTTAATTGCTCCCTTAATCTCCTCAACTGTAATTAAACTATTCATTTTTTCCCTTTGATTGTCTGACAATCTAGGACAGTGTGCCTCCTGTAAATACTTGTCAATTTCTCCAAATTGTACTTTTTCAGAGGCATACAACTTAGAATAAAACTCCAAAAAACTCTTCTTAACCAAATTTTGTTGAAATGTCATTTTGCCATTATAATCTATTTTCTCTATAATTCTTGATTTCTGTTTTTTTCGTAGTTGATAAGACAACCACCTTCCCGGTTTATTTGCATTACAAAATGTATTATATTTCATATACCTTAAACTAGTTGCTGTCTGGTCAGCTATTAACATATTAAATTGTTCCCTAAGCATAGTTATAGATACTTTTAAATTATTATCCATCGGGTTTAGAATAAAAGCCTGTTCTTTCGATTTAATCTCCTCCTCTAACTCTTTTCGTTTTTGTGCTTGCTTTTTCTTGTGAACACTATTCATAGAAATCAAAAAACCTCTCATATAGGCTTTGCTAGCATCCCAGACTATTGAAATCGGAGTACCTTTATGCATATTTAACAAAAAAAATTCTTTCAATTGATCCTTACACTTCTGCACATTTATATCATATCTAAATAAATTTTCATTCAATCTCCAAGTTCTTCTCTTTCCTTCTTCACCAAATAATTCCATCCACACCGGACTATGATCAGACAATGTCCTAGGAAAGATCTTAACATTCTTCACCCTGGAAAGAAAGTCATTAGTTATAAAAAAAAAGTCAATTCTCGAGTAGGATTGGTGCCTATCCGAAAAAAATGTGTAGTCTTTCTCATCCATATTCCGTTCCCTCCATATGTCCTCTAGTTCCAGTTCCTCCTTCAAATCAAAAAAAGTTTTAGGCAATGTTGAATTAAAAGCTTTACAAGAACCTTTCTTGTCTTTTCTTGGATCTAAGACACCGTTCCAGTCTCCCATCATAATAACTGATTTATAATCCATTTGATTTAGTTTCCGATGTATCAATTTATAAAACTGTTTCTGCTGTTGATTTGGAGCATATAATCCAATGATGAGACATTTCTTCCCATTCAAAAGCATTTCAATAAAGACATATCTTCCTTCTGGGTCAGAATCAATCAATTTAGGCAAAAACTCCTTCTTAACATAAATAACTACTCCACCTTTTTTCTGAGGCGCAGGTGCAATAAAATGTATTCCCAACCGTGAATTAATCAAATACTTTTGATCTTTCGCTGTAATATGAGTCTCTTGCAAGCAAACAACATCATTTTTATGTTGCTTCAAATAATAAAATGCCTTTTTTCTTTTCTGCGGCGAATTCAAGCCATTAACATTCCATGTCAGGAACCTTGCCATCTTTAGTGGCAGAGAGCCTCAGGAACGCCCCTTGCAAATCAGCCGTCACTGATTTCTTCGGTCTCGCTCCTCCCACTGGCTCTGAAGTTACTTGCTGCGCTATGGGTACCGCATCCACTTTCCGTTGCTCTCTTTCTTTACGTCTGTGAGCTGCACGGGTCAATCTCTGTGATTTTGGATCATCTTTAATTTCCAAAAGTTGTAACTCAGCTTGAACTTGATCTTGTAAGTTAGTAACGCTTGATGATGATGTGGCTCCTTGAGTGTCTTTATCTTCTGGAATTCTTTCCTTCCTAATACCTTGTGGAGACACTGATGGACCTGCTTTCAAAATTGAGCTGTAAAAATCTTTTGCTTTTGCGACCGTATTAAGCTGATAATGTACGCCCATATAATTAACCATTATACCAGCTGGTATATCCCATCTGAATTGTATT